CTATGTGACCACAAAAGTCTCAGGGCCACAAAGCCAATCCTATTCAGACATGCTAGGTTTGAGATGTCAGCCATCCAGAGGAGATTTGAGTAAACTCAACCCCATCAGACTAACAGCGCTGGAGTTGCAAGGATCCATCTGTGCCCCAGGTGTGGGAACCCACTAGCTATTCCAGGTAGTCATGCAACAGAGCAGAAACAGCCTCGTCCTCTGGGTAACAAGGTCTCCAATTCCCAGTATCCTGGCTTCTGTAAGCTCAGGGTCTCATATGACAAGCTACAGATCACAGTGTGCCCTAAGGAAAATCCAAATTGCTTGATTCTCCTCATTGCACAAAGGGGAATTCCACATTGGCTGTCCAGAGATCAGCTCTTCCGCTGTGGTTTACAGTGTCTGCCTTGTCTGTCTGCCAGTCCTCGGAAGAGCACCCAGTCGAGTTTGCACACACTTTGCTTGACTTGGCCAAGAGGTCAGCCCCAGATCAGCTCCTTCAACCCACCAGGCCTTTATTATAAAGCACCCCAGGCACAAGACCAAAGTCGGAGGATCCCAGAAGAGGACAGGGACACAGATTGCTGTCCTCTTGGGCCCCCACCTGGCCACACTTGGGGGTGTAATAGCACACTCTGTGTTGACCAGGCCCGTTGCAGCACAGCCACCGAGGAAGTCTCTGACTAGGGAGCTGAGAAAGGTTATTCAAGAGAATACTAGAAATTTCAAGCTGGGGAACTATTGCATGCTAACTAGATGTCTTGGATAAGAAGAAATGAAAGTCCCACTATCAGCTTTGAAATAATAACTCCTAATGGGTAAGCAAGAGCCAGTCCCCAAGAGGATTTTCATCAGGACAGTTATCCCATTGCCCCAGGAAGCCACCATCCCACCTTCTCTGCCTGCAAAACAAACCTGCCTGTTCCCTCCCAACTGGCCCTATTAGCAGGTGAACTGGCCGAACCCTGAGTCCCGCAAGCCCAGATTCCTTAGCCTTCCTTTTGACGCTCCAGTGCAGCCCACAGGACATTCCCCACTTTTGGGTCTGAGTTGTGGAATTGCTCAAGGCACAGGGCAACTATACCAAGAAGGCTGCTATTTTGCTGACCATGAAGGTAGATGGGAGGTGGCCCCTTATAAAACTTAGTGCACTATAAATTAGACCCTCCAAAATCTACACACACACACACACACACACACACACACACACACACACACACACACCGGCCATTCTTGTCTGCCTAGACGCCTCTGTAGCTAAAGCAGTGAAACTCACTGAGTGGAACTTTCCAGAAAGAGTATTAGGATCTCCTGGGCTGATGTGCTTTTGGACCTTTGGACTTTACCCAGGCCCCATTCTCCCTGACATCCTGCAGCAGTGAATAGCAGAGCAGGAAGGCAAGAAAAGAAGCTTGTGGGTGACATGTGAGAGCTGTCCCAGCCTCCGAATACCTGCCTTTGGACTTGTTGTGTGAGACAAAAAATAATAATAATAATAATATCCTTTCCTTTTTTAAGCCATGCTTATTTAGTCAGATTTTCTTTCATTTGCAGCTGAATACTGAAATTAGGGAATATTTTAGGGCAAGGGAAGAAGAAGAGAAATCTTTTCCCCTCCCACAAACTTCCTCTTATTTTCCAGTGAGTCCTCACTGAAAAATTCATTTATATTCAATTTAATAAGCATATATTGGATACCTACTGTGCATCTGGACTTAGGGAAATTTGGACTCTGACATTTAACCTCAAGGAGCTCACAATTTGCTGAGTGGCATTTTTGTCGTCTTGAAATCCTCAGGATCAAACAGCGGCCAGGCTGATGCTCCTTCCATCCAGAGGTCCTGCTTTCTCACTTCCTTCCCTACATGGGCTCTTCCCTTCAGTCCTTCCCTTGGACTAAAACCCAAACTCAGATCCCCCAACATGCAGATTGTCGACATTTATGGCTCAGAGGTGACCTGTGAATTTGGGACTTTTTCTAATGGACCCTAAGAACTTTTCCAATAAGATTGTCTTCACAGTCTTGAGAAGCAGGATAACTCCTATTTTTATTGTTCTCCTTGTTTTGTCAATATAAAAGGAGAGGGTCTTAATTTTTCCCAAAATGTTCATCCCTATTCTCTTGAACCAGCTTGATGTCAATCCCATGAGATATGTTGATAGGGAACATATTGTTATCTCTATTTGTTAACTGAGAAATTGTGTCAAGAAATTTGCCTCTGGTTATCTCTAGATTCCAAGATTCTGAATCCACTAGATTCTGAAATTTTGAGATAAGAGGGGACAATGATTTCAAATCAATGGGGAAAATATCAACTATTTAACAAATGGTTTATGGATTAAAGAAAGATAGAAATGGCTTTTGCCCACTCCCCTCCTCCCTGCCATCTTGTGCATGAATGCACACATGTGTATATATATGTATGTATGTGTATATATATATAATATATATCTCAAATCATAAGAAAGTGGAAGAGATGCTTCCTGTCTCCCTGAATTGCTCCCCCTATCCCTCTGAGTCTTTGCCTATGCCCAGGCCAGCCTCCTTAGCATTCCTTCCTCCAGCCCTAACCAAGTTTCCCAGGACTATGCTCTGCACATCTTAATATAGTAAAGAGGAAGCCGTGTACCTGGCACCTACCATGGGCCACACCCCATGCCCAGCACAAAGTACACACAGGATACCAAAACAGCATTATGCTTCAGGGACCTCACAGCTGACTGAGGGAGACAAGGTGTGGCCGTGGATGATAGCTATAGGGTTGTAGGTTTAGTAGTGGAGGGAAGCATAGGGCATGGTGGCAAACAAAGGTAAGAGGGGTCCATGCTGCCTGGCTGGAGGGAAAGAACCTAAGAACCTTGTTCTGGTTCAGGTCCTCCACCTTAACTGCTCCACTAACATTAAATCTGCACTCGAAACACCCAGCTCAGAGAGGGGCCAGCCTTCTGGGCTAAAGCAGACCCAGACCAGAAAACCCAGAAGCCAAGAAGCCAAGAGTGAAGGAGAAGGGTGGAAAGGATGCAAGACACAGCTCCTGGCTCTTCCCTGCCTCCTGGCTGTAAAATGCAGTCCTCCTAAGCCCGGTGTAAATCTGGCAGGAAAAGCAATTCCTGTGTTAGTGCCACTCCTGTTTCCAGAAGACTCCTTCCCCCTTCATGGCTCTTAGGTTCTGTATTAACACTCCCTGCAGGGCAGGGAGGAGAGGTTGCGATTCTGATTCACAAGGTACACTTTCAGGATGGGCTGAACCCTCCCCCTCCTCCCTCCTACTCATTCCATCCTGGCCCCAGTGTGTCCACCATGCTTGCTCTGAAATACCAACCTTCTGCGACAGAGTGGGCTCAGAGCCCAGCACCATTCAGGGTGTCCCAGTGCTGACACAGGAGGGCACGGAAATAACACAAAGCAGATGTCCTACATCCGGGTCCACTCATTAACTCCCCAAACCCCATCCCATGGGAAGCCCAAGGCCGTACTGTTGCCCTCCTGGGGCAGGTGGAAAACAGACACGAAGAGGTCAGGGGACGTGCCCCAGGTTTAAAGAGTGACAGACCCAGGGCAGAACCCAGGCCTTCCACCCCCAATCCCAGGTCAGTGTTCTCCCCATTACTGTCTTCACTAGTGGGAGAAGCCCCTGTGGAAGAGGGAGCTCAGGGCATAAAAGACCCCCAGAGAATTTGCAGAGATCTGAAGAAGTGATATCACTGCCCTGTCTTTCCTAACTAGAGGTTGAGCCATGCGCCTCATCACATCTGGCTGCTCCACCCCCTGACACACACATTTACACACATGCATATACATTCACATGTCCAATTCCAAGACAAGATAACAAATGCTTCTTTGGGAAAGGAGAGGAGAAACAGGTCAGAGAAAAGAAAGGAGCCTGCAAGCCAACCTTCACGGAATCTTGACTTATTTTCTGTGTTATTTCTACTTCTTCCTCTCCATCTTTCAAGCTTGAGTCTCCAGCCATAGAAGCTTACAACTGAAAGAAACCTGAAGGCCTCTAATCTGATCTTTTCATTCCACACACTGGGGAGAGTAAAGAACAGAGTAAAGAGCGTGGATGGTGCCAGTGGCAGGCCAGCCTGGGTGCAAACTCTGGCTCCCTCACTTAGCACTCATGTAACTTTGTGCTGGTTCCTTAACATCTCTGACCTCAGCCTGCTCATTAGAAAATGGAGATAATAAGGGTCACGGTGACTGGCAGTTACCAAACTTATGATATGAGTGGACTACTTTTACTAACTTCCCCCAGATACTGAGACAGCTGAGGAGGTACAGATGTAACCCCAAGTGTCTCAGAGAACCCAGGGCCAGAGAAGAGGCCTGGAGAACATCCCGAACCCCTGCCCATCCTGTGGCAAGCCAGCATCTTCAAGGAGCAGCCTTGGAACAGAAAATGAGAGAACCAGAAGGGAGCTTTCAGGATATTTGGCTCCCCCACATGTTTTCACTTAGGGAATCTAAGGCCCAGAGAGTTGAGGTGACTTCCTAATTCAGCAAGGAAAAGCCCTGAGTATTCAACCCAGGTTAGAAAAGGGATCCAATTATTTCTCAACCCCAGTATACTCTGGAATGGCCAATTTGTCCACGTCACTGTGACCTAGGGACACGTGAAGAGAACCCACAACTATGGGCTTCTGCGCACAGAACAGCTGTCCATCCCAGGAAATCAACTTTTTTTTTATTAAGAGAAGCTGAGAAATTATTTTAAAAGAGGTAGCTAATCCTAAAATAGCTGTAATGCAGAAGTTCTTCAATCATCTTTTTTTGCTTATGATGCAAAAAATAAGTACTTAAAGAAGTTCATCGAATGCAAAATTGAAGTGGTCTACCAGAGGGAGGAGCTAGCTTTAATCAGAAGGGTGTGTTTTTTTGGGTTTTTTTTTTTTTTTATGAATGGGGCAATATAAAAGGGGACACAGTAGGTGAAGGTCTACACATCAGGGCCTTGCTCTTGCAAAACCAAACCACAAGGCCGACTTGCAGAAGACAGAGCACCACCATGTCCAGCTCAGCACTTCTCTGTTGCCTGGTCTTCCTGGCCGGGGTGGGAACCAGCCGAGAGCAGAGCATGCCATCTCAGAACAACTGCAGTGACTTCCCAGCCAACCTGCCCAACATGCTTCGAGAGCTCCGTGCTGCCTTTAGCAGGGTGAAGACTTTCTTTGTGAGTATGATGCCCCTGTCCTTCCTCCCTGAGACCGCCTGAACTAGGCATCCTGCTAGAGCTCCAAGAACCCTCCTTGTTTTCCTCTGTCCCCAGCACCTATTGCCCCCAAAGTTAAATTCTTAAGAGACTCCCCTAGTCAAGCTATGGGTTCAATGAGTTAAGTAAAGCCCAGATGATGAGCCAAATGTGCAGGTTAAAAGCTGCCTACAAGGTAAAATTGCTCTCCTATAATCAGAAACTTTTCACCAGATTCTGCTGGAGAGCAATGCTTCATTGGCTGGGAGAAACCACGACGGGGGTAGCCGAAGGTGCAGGAGTTCCCCACACCCTTCGGCAGGGAAACAGACATTGCCTCTGCTAAGAGCGGTCCAGAATCTGAAAGAGGGACGGCCAGGGAAGCGCCGTGCAGTGGGGATCCTGCATGAGGGGCCACCTCCTGTCCCCAGAGAGCCTTCAGGGCTGCAGCAGGGTCGGGGGCGGGCAGACCGCAGCAGGCACTGAAAGGCTGACAGGGGTGGCCTCTTCAAACTTTATGTATCTCTGCAGGAAGAGGACTGGGACTGAGTTGAGCTTCTGCCTTGGCTTCAAAATAGGGCAGAATGCTTTAAATAACTTGATCCTGAGGGGGAGGACTGGATTTAACTAACAGTTCCAGCGCTGTAGAATGCCTCATTTTGAAAACTCTCCAGTTTTGGGTCAGGGCTACAACTGGTTAAATATCAAAAACTCTATAAATAAAAGACATTGTTTTCAGTTATTTCCCTAAACCTCAGGTTTCTTCTCATTTTGTTCACTTGCAGCAAATGAATGACCAGCTGAACAGCATGCTGCTGAACAGGTCCTTGCTGGAAGACTTTAAGGTGAGAGTCGGTGGGAGAGTGTGCCCCAGGGCCAAGAGAAAGGAGGCTCGGCTTCACGCCTGCAGAGAGCTGGGTCTGCTTTCTTCACTCGAAAAGGAGAAGTGGGAAGATCTTAACTCAGCACAGAGCCAACCAGAGGGTTACAGAAGGCTCAGTCCTGGGGGGAGGCGGCTAGTAAAGAGATCCCTGGGGACAAAGCCATCCTCTCCAGCTAGTGGCAGCAGCCCTTTCTTCCATTCACCTCCTCCCCACCCGGTGCTTTTGCCCTTAGGGTTACCTGGGTTGCCAAGCCTTGTCAGAGATGATCCAGTTTTACCTGGATGAGGTGATGCCCCAGGCTGAGAGCCAGGGCCCAGACATCAAGGAGCACGTGAACTCACTCGGGGAAAAGCTGAAGACACTCAGGCTGAGGCTGCGGCGCTGTGTGAGTAGCAGACCAGTTCTCTCCCTTTCGGCTTTTCAGAAACACCGAAACACTGCCTCATCCCCTAACGCCACTCACACCCAGGCACTCAGAGTGGCAGGAGCCTGCTCACATCTTTCTGAGCAGGGGGTGGGGTGGCTGCTAGGCATTTACATGTGAAGATTTGCAAACAGCTTTCCTGTTATTTGTGAGTCATTTGTGGGTTATTAACTACTCCCCTGTCTCTGTATGAAAGGGGCCCGGAGCTTTCGTCAGGGCTCCCTTTCGTCAGGGCTCCTTTGTCCCCTGAGACCTAAGCCCTGGCCCCAGCAGGAGGAGCCAGAAGGTGAGAATCCCAGGGAAGGAAACTCCATTTCCTTCTTATTCTTTAGAAAGAGGGCAAAGGAGAGAGGGAGATAAACATCAATGTGTGAGAGATACATATATGGCTTGTCTCTCCCACATTCCCAGCCAGGGGCCTGGCCCGCAACCCAGGCATGTTCCCTGACTGGGAATCGAACCAGCGACCCTTTGGTTAGCAAACTAGGACTCAATCCACCGAGCCACACCAGCCAGGGTTTATTCTGAACCTTTTGAAAGCAGAGCTCTAAGTGAGGCCCTACTAACTAACAGGATTTTCCTTAGTATTTCAGAAGGGCCCTAAGGTTAGTGTCTGTGAACAATTCCCCGGGATAATCTGCTTCTCCAGCTGAAATTATGCCCTCATCAGTAATTTCCTTGGTTCTCTTCCTGATAATGGGAAATCAGCAGTTCGGGGTCTCTGTTTGTAGGATGGGACTATGCAAAATGTTCAGTCCACATAGCTGAGACTGTCTCTGTTTCACGGGGACTTAGAAAATGGTCCTCGGTGTCTGACTGAGGGGAGGGACAGGACAAGCAAGAAAGGACAGAAAGGCTGGCTCAGCACTAGGCACCACTGTGCACTGCCCGGAAGGAGTCCCCAAGAAGTCAACAAGCTTTGCAAACATTTCAGAGTTGTTCCTGGACAATGTTTCTCCTCTGTTTGGAGGGGAAGAATGAGAGGTCGGGGTGGGCAGGGGAAGACATTCAGGATGATTCTTGTCCCTACTTCTTGCCACCAGCTTGTCCTCCAAGTGCTATGGACTCAGGAGCTGAGAGCCAGTATCTTAAACACTTTCTCTTTTCTTGCACAGCATCGCTTTCTGCCCTGTGAAAACAAGAGCAAAGCAGTGGAGCAGGTGAAGAGTGCCTTTAGTAAGGTGAGTTTGCATGGTGGCCGGCAGGGTTTGGGGAACGGGATCCCTGACCACTCCCCAAGGGGCAGAGGTTGACAGATGCTAAGCAGCCCCCCCTCCGCCCCGTCCTTCCCTGAGAGGGACTATGGGAACCCGACAGATGGTGTGACCTCCTCAGCCAGTGAGGATCTGCCGCCTTGGTTATATTTGTTTTCTGTGAAGTCTCTTTGGGGGTTTCTAAATGACTGCTCCCCGCCTTTGCAGGCCTGTGGGTTGAGCCAGCCAACCAGCCTGTGAACGCAGTGAGCTGGGTGCTGGGGAGAGTGACAAAGGAAACAGAAAGTAGCTTTTTGGGAATCCAGGCTGAAGCCACACGTGCAGGAAGCCGACACGTGAATAAGCACACACAAACACACCCAGGGGTTCAGCCTAGACTCCCCAAAACTCAGACAGAGCAGGAAGCAGGATCCTCGCTTATCTAGAGTTGGTCCACGCTCACTTCCCATCTGCCATTCACACCTCCCAAGGTGCCTGAAAATGGCAACTCTCAAACCAAATGGGGTTTCACACTTCCAGCTGTTTGTGAACATTTAAATCCCATTTCTCAGAAGCATGTGGCTTATGTCCTCTTAGGGGGCTGGGGACAGACCCTCGGCACAGTTCCAGCATCAGGGGACATGAATCCCTGACATAGGCCAGAAGAGCAGGGTGAGTCCTAGTCAGTCTGTTGATGGAAGAGAATAAACCTAAAAGAGGCTCCCTTCTCTCCTCTCTCACTGGCCTGCTTTCAAAGTGGTTCCTCTAATGGTTTTTCATCAAATTCTGAATAAGCATCATGTGAGCACATGACCTTTAAAATTGTTGAAAAGGCACCCATCTGAAGACCGTGCTTTGCAGACTAGATGTTCCTCTTGCCACCCACTGCTAGTCATGCCTCGCATCAATGCACAGCATTTCTCATGGCAGCTGGGCATATCTTCAGGTTCTCTGGGTCCGTTCTTCAAGTCCCAGCCTGAGGGATAAAGTGCAGCTTCCGGGCCCCAGGGTCACGGCATCCAGATGAGAAGCCAGCTTACATATTCACTGAGACTGGGTTTTCACTAAACATTTCTTATCTCCTCACACAGCTCCAAGAGAAAGGGGTCTACAAAGCCATGAGTGAGTTTGACATCTTCATCAACTACATAGAAGTTTACATGACAATGAAGATGAAAAAATGAAACATCCTACGGAACAAAACATCCAGGATGATGACTCTACTAGACTCTAGGACATAAATTAAAGATCTTCAGAATTAGATCCAGAGTTCCAGGAGAGACAGACCAACTCCTTGGAGAACCCCATGGTACCTCTCTCCTAGAATATTTATTACCTCTGATACCTCAATTCCCGTTTCTATTTATTTACTGAGCTTCTCTGTGAACTATTTAGAAAGAAGCCCAATATTATAATTTTTCAATATTTATTATTTTCACCTGTGTTTAAGCTGTTTCCATAGGGTAGCACCCTGTGGTATTTGAGTGTTTTAAGAAAAATTTTAAGTTATATAATGAAAAAAATGTTTCTTAGAGAGCCAACTGAAGTTTCCATTCTGAGCCTGACCATTCCTTAAAGCTGGTGAGCTATTTTCCCCAACCTCCCTCTGCTTTCTCTTGTCCCTGGGCCTGGGGCTCCCAAAGTGTTACAAAGATCTCACCCTCTTAGGAAGAGAAACTAGGGAGCCCCTTTGGTGAATACTATCCTAGTGGCTCAGAGGGATTCCCCTGACCTCATTCCCCAGACACTTCTTTCTTGAAAGCTGTGGTCAGCTTGTTATTTATAACAACCTAAAATTGGTTCTAATAGAACTCAGTTTTAACTAGAAGCAGTTCAATTCCTCTGGGAATGTTACATTGTTTGTCTGTCTTTGTAGCAGATTTTAATTTTGAATAATAAATGGGTTTTATTAAAAATCATGTTGTAGCATCAGTTGATTTCTGTCTGACTAAAATTATTCCCCCAAAGTATCCAAGATAGAAGAGAATAGAGGAATGAATTCTGCATTCCAGAGTGAGACACCAACTACCCTCTCCCAGAAAGAGGGAAGGCTCCAGATCCAAGGCGGGAGGGGAGATATTCTCCCTTCAATAGCTGATATCGAAGGCCACCTCAGTCTTTTCATAAACTCAGTCCTTTAAGGAATTACCCTTAAATCCTCAAAGAGCGTGCTGATTTTCAAGGCTAAGGATAAATTGGAAGAATAGGCAGAGGGAGTTTCTTCGCGTTCTTTCCTTCTTCAAGCACCAAATTTCCAGAGGTGAACACCCAGTTGCCCTGGATCATCACAAGGACTGAGTGGGGTGCTTTCAAGGCTCCCGCACCAGGGGATGGCCCCAGTACACACAGCTGGTTGTGACTGGTCTTCACAACTAAAAACGTCCACCAAATCTTCCCTGAGCTGGGTGCAGTAGAGCAGAATATAAGCAAACTAGACCACTCACTAGGATACCCAAGGATTCAAGCTGCTGACACTCCTTGAGCCATCAGACAAAGGCGAGATTGGCTCCTGACTGTGATCTGCCGGGAGGAGCATGGTGGCTGGGGAAGCCCCGTGACCTGAAGGAGCGAAGGGAAAAGAATGGGCTAAGTAAAGACGGATCCCCTCACACTCTGCCCAGGCAGCCCTGGTTCCGGGGGAGGGTAGGAGCTGACTGCCTGTGGTCAGTTTTTCAGTAAACCTGACTCACTTCGGTTAAAGTAACCATAGGAAGGAAGTGGGGAGCATCAAAGCCGAAATTCTGAGATGAAAGGTTAGGTTTAAGAATGGGAGCTAGCAGAAGAAAAGGAGAGAAGGGGTGGTGTTGTCTTCGCTAAGGCTCTCCATACTGAAATGGAGGAGAAGCTATGAGGCCCTCAGCAGGGAAGGTTTAGGTGTGTAGGGCTGTCTTCCAGGCAGTGCACACCAACTCACGTTTGAGGCTGGCACTTCATGTGAGGGAAGTGGGCATCTGAAGCCGAAAGACAAAAACTCACCTGGGGAAGCCAGGTGTTGACAACAACTACAACTTATTGAGCATATTTTGAGCTAGTCAGTACTAGGCATATACAGGGTCTGACAGGAGTAATGCCTGCTTGGTAGGGTAATAATATGGGTGTAATAACCTATAATTTTAATTTGAACATTGCGCCTAAAATGTCATAAGGTGCGCTTTCCATAGGCTGCCTGCGCTTGAGTGTGATGTTGTTATGTTACAGAATTACATGTTTATGATTTTATAATAAAGATTTTGTAATAAAAAGGAGCATTATTTGTGCTGGACCCTGTATATATCAGGCATACTATATGGTATTTTGTTGCTATTTTCCGTAAGAGGAAACTTGACTCAGAAATGTTGATATGGCTTGGCCACACGGGTAATGGGGAGAATGGAGAACTGGGCATAGCATAAAACACCTTTCCCTTTATATTAATTATTTATTGCTGCCCCCCAAATGCAGCTTGAAACAACAAACCTCTACTATCTCACAGTTTCTGTAGGTCAGGAGCCTGGGAGTGGCAACCAAGGGTTCTGGCTCAGGATCTCTGAGTCTGCAGTCAAAATGACAGCCAGGGCTGCAATCACTGGGGCTGGACAAGTCACATGCAAGTTGGCACACTCACATGGCTGTTGACAGGAGGCCTCAGTTCCTCCCTGGCTATAGGCTGGGTTCCTCATTGCACGGGCCTTTCCATAGGCTGCCTGCATGTCTTCACAGCATGGCTGCTGTCTTCCCCAGAGCCTATAACCTGAGAAACAGACAGCCAGGAGATGGTCAGAGTGTATTTTAGACATAATCTCAGAAATCTCACACCATCGCATCTCTTACATTCTATTTGTTAGAAGTGAATTGGTAAGTAGATCCCCTCTTCAAGGGGGGGAGAACTTAGATTCCACATTTTGAAGGGAAGGATATCAAAGTATTTGCAGACATATTTTTTTCATGTAAAAGCAATCTTTATTAAAGATAGGAAACCATTCAAATAAGCTGTTTCAGATAATGAGGAGCTGAGGGCGGGTAGCTGTTTAAGATCCAGTTTTATAGAGACACTGCCATTTAGAGAATGACTAGTGAATTACTATGTACTTAAAATATCAGTCTTATCATCTGAAATTGCTTCAGCTAGTTGTACTTAAATTCTACATTTCTGACAATTATTTTTAAAACAATGCCTTAAGTGATTTGACTGGGGTCAGGGGAGACCCAAATCCTGCCTCCTGCATAGTAAAGATGACCACTAGTTATTTCACGATCCTTTATATCCTCTCCCTTTGAGATCTAGGCCTGCTCTAGGACTGTCGGAAGAACTAACAGTGTTCAGCCCCAGGCTGCATTTGCAGCTCCCACTTCCTGTCCCTTTGGAGCACTTCCTCTGTAACCCAACTACCATCATGTTACGGTGCTCTAATAGCCTCTGGAGAAGACTCTTTGAAGAGGAACTGAGGCTGCCAGCCAACAGCCAGTACTAACATAAAGTGGCTCCTTCTGCCCCAACAGAGGCTGCATGAAATAGAGATGAGCTATCCCCATCATGTGCTCCCCAACTGCAGATTCAAGAATAAGATGAATGATGACTGGAACACACCTTAAACTTTAATTCAAGGTATTCTATGATTTAAATTTCAAGGAACTATGAGAGGAGTAATAACTATATATTTTGAGCATTTTCTATATGACTAAATGCTTTACACATTCTTATTCCCTAAAACAATCTTATTTGGATTAGTAATTCCTCTATTTTATAGACAAGGCAATTATAGAGATTGCCCAAGGTCACGTAATAAGAGGATAATATTCAATAACCAGATCTAACTCCAAGGCCCATGCTTAGCCAGGAAAATGGGAATGAAAGAAATTCCAAGCTAATGCTAGGGACTTCAATCTTCACAAATAGTGTAAGAATTAGAACATGTGTCAATAAAAAGATATGTCCTGAGGGTGCCCCAATAATTGCTTTGCACAACTTTCAAAATTAAAAGTGCTAACATTTTTTGAAGTATAGTATTCAGAAAATATTTTCTGAGTATTTATAACCTCAAATATGTCTACCAAAAAACCAAAAAATATGTCTACATGATGTGTACACCCTTCTAAGAATTTAGAAGAAGTAGCTCTATCCTAGGTCAAAGGAAGGAGAAGAGTAGGTAGGCACCAGGGAGCATGGAGGAGTCAACATCACAGGAACTACCCTTCTTCAGTTCTCTCTCATTGGCTCAGTCTAGTGATGTTTACTTGTTCTGAGCCTCAGTTCCTCATCTAGAAAGCTAGCAAATCTTCTTTTTCAGCTGTTATGGACTGAATGTTTGTGTGCCCTCAGAAGTTCTATGTTGAAGCCCCAACCCCCAATGTGATGGTATTTGGAGATGGAGCCTTTGAGAGGTAATTAGGGTTAAAGAGACCATGAGGGTGGGATCTCATGATGGGATTATTGTCTGTTTAAGGAGAGACACCAGAGAGCTCCCCCTTGCACACGCACGCTCTCTCTCTCTCTCTCTCTCTCTCTCTCTCCACCCCACCTCACACACACACAACAAAGAAGTCTTATGAGCACACAACAAGATTTTGTCATCTATAAGCCAAAAGAAGAGGCCTCTGAATGAAACCTGCCTTACCAGCTCCTTGTTCTTGGACTTTCAACCTCCAGAAAGGTGAGAAAATAAATTTCTCTTATTTAAGTGTCCCAGTCTATAGAATTTTATTCTGGCAGCCTGAGCTGACTAATATAACAGGTTTGATATAAGGGTCAAATAGAATGTCAACTATGAAGATATATATGTATTTTGGATAGAAAGTATAGAGATGAAGTTTAAATGGGGATTTTTTTCTTCTTTTTTTGCAACAAGCCTTTATTCTCTAAGAGTAATCATCTCATTTCTGTCCATCTGTCCCTTCATACCAGAGTCTGGATAACAGTCGGAAATGAGAATCTCTGTTTGTCAGTGGCCCCAGCTGCAGAAGCGAGAAGGATGGAAGCAGCGAGAGAAGTTCCCAGGACTGTCATGACAATGGGTGATCCTATCTGGCCACTGACAGAAATTAAACAGGTGAAAAGCTCCACCGTGGGAGCGAGGCACAATCTGAAGGAAGAGGATGAGATCAGAAATGAAAAGAAAAGAGGAAAGTGGCGCATGACTTGATGGCTGCAGCTGTCCATTCTACAGCATGGTTCCCCTAAGATACTTGTATGAGCAGATCTGATTGTCGAAAATGCTTGTAGAATGTATCAGCTTTAGGCCTGGGGTGATTCAGGGAAAAGCAGAAATAACCCTCCAAGGAAAGAGGAGTGGGATCATGAGAACATGT